CTCGTGGTGGAGCAGCTACAGAAACTGTGCGGCTCCCGCGGCGCCCGGCTCTGTCGGAATGGGGCAGCGGGCACAAAATGCAGCTGGGCAATCGCTGCCCTTTCTCAAGGTCAGGGCAGCATGGAGGGAAACAGCCAACGGGGAAAAAAAACAGGTTTTTAGGTGCATGTTGAGCAAACCTGATTGGGAAATCACCAAAACAAAATACGCACGGATTCTGTTATGCCACATCCAGGCACTTTTAGAGGTTAGAAAGGCCCTTCAAGCTCTTTTACACAGCTTCAGCCCCAGCAAGTAGTAGTCGTTCAAGCATGAGCAGCAAGGTTGCCAGTTCCAACATTTTATTGGGAATTTCCCTTCATTTAGTCATTTTGACAGCTCATAGACTTCCACAATTAAAGCAGCACTTCAGCTTTTATAAGTCTCTCATCTTTATGCTAAAATAGAAAAAAAAACCCTAAAAACACACCTACCCAGAGCAACCCCCCAAGGTGTTACCTGTGAGGCGACTGCAGCTTCCCCCATCGACCGCACCATGCGCGTTGGCCGCACCGGGACACCTGCCCTTGCTCCTGGCATTGTTCTCCAGCACGTCCAGGCTGGGCCGAGAGCTGCCCGGGGCAGGAAGGCTCTCCTGGGGATGACATGGATGCTCCTGGTTCACGGTGCAGCCCCGGAGGCACCATGCGCAGGGCCCCGCAAGGAGCGCGGCCATCCCCGCTGCCGAGCTGCTCYGCAGCCCTCGCCACCTGGAAGCGCACAGATAGGCTCCTGGCAGGGAAGTCTCCCTCGGAAGGGCTGGAGGCAACAACATTCATCAAGTCTTGGTACATTAGAGGTTTTAATACAAAGGACTGTGTGGACCCAGTGCAGATTTCAGGTGGGGCATGTGACAAAATGCAGTATCGGAGCAGTTCCCTAGTGAAGCGATGACACGTTAGCTGGACTAAAGAACCAAAAGGCAACTGATCTGGTAACATAGATTGCTAGTCACTGACCAAAGACCCCCCTGTGCCCCTCACCAGGCTGCAAAAGGAGTCATCTGGAGCACGTGCCCACCAGCACAGGGGCTGCAGGGCTATTCACGAGTGCCCTTCAGAGTCAGCAGAAGCCACCACRAAAGGCAATGGTCACATCCAGCCTTCAGCACTGCTGCCAGAGGCTTTTAGGGTCCTGCACGAGCCGTGCAGCCCCTCCGGGCCTCCTAGGACAGGGACTTGCACTAACAGCTCCAAGCTCATCCAACTGCCACAACAACATAAGCTACACACAAATAGCAGGAGCCTTTCAGTCCACTCCATTCAGGAAATTACCACTCTTGCACTCAAATTTTTGCATAAGATTAAGTATTTCCTGGTGTGCAGGGTGTGGCCATGCAAAAGGAATAGCTTTTAATTATTTTTGCTGCTATTTGTATCTGTTTTAATAGTTTCAGGAGCATTASTTATCAGGGAATATCTGCTCCAAAGCACGTGCAAGAAGGATACTCAATCTTTCTTCCCCACAGGGTCTTAAAAACCTCTTTTCTGGAAGGATGCACAAGGCCCTTTCCCACAGAGGCTGCAGAGCACAGCTATTTTTGAGGGCCAAAACACTTAAACCACAAACTAAGGGAAAAAGATAAAAGGCTTCTTCCCAAATCAAGTGAATGAGCCAAAAAATGGAAGAAAGAGACAGTCTTGATTGTCTCCCAAAGCTTTTTAATTAATAACATTTCTTTCACAAAAGAAGGAGGGCCTGACACGTTAAAGGTGGCAGCTCTGCTGTTCACTCTTTCCAGGTTGTTTGGGGGCTAAACAACCTGTTGAAATCCAGTCTCCCCCCCGGACACACGTGGGCTGAAGCCGACAGATAGCGCACGCCCGGCAGACACATGGGAATCCTTAGTTACTGCAGGATGAGTCACCCAGAGGAGCCAGGGCAGCAGCCAACACACACACCCCAAAACCCCCTTTAAATAACCTCGGGAGAGCAGCGATGCCTGGGACCGGGCAGGCACCAGCACCATGGGGCCTGCAGGGACAGGCCTGCGATTTCTGACCCTGGCCCCAAGGCAGCCCAATATCCCCGAGGGCCCTGTGGCTCTCCAGGCTGGCACAGGCAACGTTCCTGCAGACAGAAAAAAAAAGGGAAAAAAAAAATGAAGATAAAACTTTTACCTTCATCTCCAGCATTGGGGCAAAACGCTGCTCTCCCATCCACAGTAGCTTCACTCCTGTGCCAGCTTTCTCAGCTAACAGAGCACTGASAACACGCAGGGCTCCCCTGCCAGCTGCACACCAAGCCTGTTTTAAAAGCTCATTTTTAAAAGTGATTCTTGCTCATTACTTAGACGAACCCTTCTTTAATAGAGCGCAAAAAATGAAATGTTCTGAGTTCTGGAGCAGCTGGTTTTAATCCCCTCTTCTGCAAGAGAACTCCCATGGTTGCCCTACAAGACTTTGGCTGTAGCCCCGTTAGGGGAGATTTCATTTGGATTTAGATAACCTCAGCCATTGCTTTCGCAAACCAGCTCCCTCCCTCTTCRCAGCATGTCTACCTCACATCATAGCTGGGGCTCCGTGTTGCACAGCAAAGCTCCAAAGACAACATCTGCTTTCCTAAGAGACTACAGTTCTGAAGCTAGAAAATACATTTAATTCTAGTTACRTCTTCTAACAGAGAAGACAAGGCAAAAAATTCCTTATCTGCAGCGTTCAGGCAGTTGTGCTCTTGGCAGAACAGTTTCCTGGGGGGTTGTGTGTAATCCCACAGGGAAGGGCCCTCCTTCAGGTCCCATTTGTCACCACACAGCTTGAGGCTCAGTGAATGTAACTGTCCAACACACTGCCAGAGCCCCTTCTCCTACAGCCCTGCAAGGGGTCTGTCCCTGCTAGAGGGCAGGACTCTGCCACAAGGGCCTGCAGAGGGGAGGAAGCCAGCTGAATTCTCTACAGGGGATTGATTCCCTGGGAGGTGACACATACCAAAGCCACCACCATGGTGGCTTATATTGAGATCCAATAGTATTGAGTTGGAGATATCACCTTTCCCTCTGCTTCCCATGGAAAGCTGTGCAAGGTCCTGGCTGTGTGGACCCTTGCAGCCACCTATTGTTTRAAGACAGCACTATACCTCTTAATTCCATGAAATAAGGATGTGCATCTGATGGCTCCTGGTACTTTTAACTATCTATTATTGAGGGGAAAAAATCCCCAACAAGTTTCMAAGTTGTTCCCCAAATCCCCAGTTCCAGCTAGCAGATGGAAGCCTTTGAAAAACCTCCACACCTTGGAYATATGGCCTTTTGGCTGCTGATCAGGAGTTAAGTCAGGCTATAAAGCTCTCAAGATCTATCACAGGGCTAAATTCTTAAGAGCAGAGCAAGTGTGTTGCAGAGGCTTCCCCCACAGCTTGGCACAGTAGTCAAGTCCTCCAAGAGCCTGTGCAAGATACYTGGACATCTCCCCTCCAAGGATTTAGTGTCTTCTAGTGCAGGCAGTACATAATAATTTTACTATGGGGCTTGAGACATGCTGGAAAAAAATCAGAATAAAAAATAAATCCAAAAAACAACCCACTATTTTTAAAAGATTAAAAGGCTTAAGTCCTAATTAAATGGTCTGCCCTACTTTTTGCGTAGTCACTGTGTCACTGTTATCTGTCAAATAAGGCTATATTCTTCTCCAACTATTTACTTCTTTAAACAGAAATGCAGATTTTTAAACAAATCTGCAAACCTGCATGGAAAACCATATTTCCACATAAAAGCACAGCCCTACCTGCCAGAATTGATAAGCACCATCAGGTACAGCAACCACGGGTTGCAGTAACTGCCGTCTGCATTGCCACTGCTTACTCTCAGGGATTTCTCTTATCCATGTTTCAGCAGCCATCCTTTGGGATCTGCACCTCTGTGTTTCTAGGATGAAGAGTCTAGCACTTCAAGGCAGAACCCAGAATTATTTCCACACAGAACTAGAACTTATTTCCATACCTGCTTAAKAGGTAGTAGCAGATAATATATATTCTATGCAGGACTGAAAAGCTTAAAACTTTTACTTCCTTTATTCCACAGTCTCTSTGGGTCATGCACATAGATCTCAGCCCTATTTTCTCCAAAGCAATTTCACTAAAGGAAAAAAAAAAGGAAACAAAAACAACTAACCAACCTAACAGCACTTTAGAAATTTACAAGCACAATAAAGTAGAAGTTCTGGTTATACTGATACTGAAATACACACACTATTGGACCAAAAACCAGGATATTTCTTCATGATTAAAGTACATTACCCTGGCCTGAGGTTGAGAATGGACATTGGTTTATAAGTAACAAGCAACTAAAGAGTTGTAAATACAACAAAAGATTCATATTCCCTTATTACCAATAAGCAAAAGGAGAAAGTGGCCACACAAAAATAACCTCTTTGCATCTCAATTCTGCTGATTACTTATTAAGCAACTGAAGTTCGCACAGATTTTCTGATTGGGGTAAATTATATAGGACAGTTCCTGAGCAGCATATACATAATTTATCTGAGACTTTGGAGAAAGCGACTGCATTAACAGTTCAGAGAAAACTGAGCTCATATCTGTAATGTTTCATGCTGGAGAATACACTCACAATAAAGTGCCAAGGGCCCTAACAGCCAAGCCTGTCTCATTACAGATCTCAACACCTTTGCTGCCTGCTGGAAGATTTAAGCTTACTTTTCTTGCAAAATGCACATGAACTGGAAAAATCTCACTACTCCCAGGTGATACAGAGCTCTGCACAGTAAAACACCACCAACTGCAACCACAGAAGGATCCATAACATCTAGCATAAGAGGTGGCTGCAACACAAAAACAAGTATTTTCCATCTTTATGAATTGAGTATGAGCTCTGAATTCTTTACAGAACAGAGCATTTACACATTTAGAAAAGCTTCTTTTAATGATTATTCATTTAAAACATTAAACAGGCTTAGAAGTAGTGATATGGGTTAAAAAGTCAATAAATAAGACAGAGGCACAAAATCTCCATAAAACTGTTTTTATTGTTTATCAGTGGAGACTGCATATGAAAAGAGGATCTATGGTGAGCTTAATAAAAGGAACTGCAAAAAAACACCAGCAATCCTCTTAAGTAGCAGAGCCACTGAAATATTCCATTCTAGGGTAGAAGATATCTGCCAAATCCACCTCCTTGCCCTCTTCCAACATAGGGAACTTACAGTTTTTAGCAAAAGGTTATAGAAATTACTTAAAAACCACTACTCTGAAGCAGCTGTCCATAGGGCTGTCTCCCTCAGCTCCTCAGTCTTCATCCTCCTCTTTCACTTTCTTCTTTTTCTTCTTCTTTTTCTCTGCGTTCTGGAAACAAACGATGTTATGAACAAGCCATAGGGGCACAATCCCACGTCGCTAGGCAACACAGGCATCCTCAGAACAGCACAACCACTACCAGGATCTGAGCACAACTCCAGATATTCCCTTCCCTGGCTGCTAATGCCACGTGCTGCTTTGCAGGGGCAGGGGAAACTGGGCTGCCCCTCGCACTGCTGGCAGCTCAGTCTGCATCAGACAGCAGGGGAAATGAAATCCCAATTAGAGAACAGGCTTTCCAAACTGGCTCTGTTTGACTGCATCCACTCTGCTGATACTAGAAGACATCACACAGTTCAGGTTCAGCTGTCCTGAACACTAGAGATTTGTGGTTCAGAATCAAAGGACACCCTGCCCAGTTTTCCAAAAAAAAAAATAGTAGAAAGAGGGGAAACCCAAAGCTGGAAGCAGGCAGAAAGCAGAGGAAACATTCCCAGTGTGGGGAGACATTACAGTCACCAGTTTCCCAGACCTTATTTTGTAAGGCTGGTCTTCTTGGACATTACAGTGACTGATATGATGAAACAAAGTTGCTAAAGAGTCAAAAAGCCTTCACATACCATGAGTTATATAGATAAGAATATGCTCCCCCCCACACTCAATGTTTCAAAGAGAATCTGTTCCCATGAAGGATGAGGCAGCTGGCWGTGCAGATCTCTCACCTCAACTGTAGGGCTGGTGGCTGCTTCCTCATTCAGGGCTCCCTCATCTTCAGCCTCTGCTTGCCTCTTCTTCTCCTTTTTCTTTTTCTTCTTTTTGACAGGTTCACTCTCTTCTACATTCGTCTCTTCTGCACCACAGAAGGGAGGAAAACAAAAGGCAGACTGTCAACCATTAAAGCATACGTGGCAAACAAGAAAAAGTCTCTCTGTGCTTCCTACAAGATACTAAGACACAACAAAAACAGTAGGGAACAATGCAAAATACAGAATCTCTCCACAGTGTCTTCTTTTTATTGGCTCCTCTTCATCTCTCGATTGCGTGACTAGTCCTTGCTCTATCAAAACACACAGCTACCTAAGACACAAGTGGCAGTGTTCAGACAGCGCTAYTCACATCTCCTGGCACAAAGAGCACTCCTAAACGCTGCTCCTGAAGTTCAGAACAAGCTTGTGTGCTTTGATTTGTCTGCCAAATTATCTTCAAGTAGCTTTCCTRAGAACAGACTGTTCTGGAGCTTGGCAAATATTTTCGCCAGCATCTCAAGAACGGAGAACTTTAAAACTCACATTAAAATGCACTCAGCTAGCAGCACGATATTCATAGTCAATTCCCATATCTTGATCTTAGAAATCTGCTAAGAGCAAATCAGCAATCTTCCTTTAACAGTTTAGACTGGCAAATGCAAAGAACCAACGCAGCACTTGTGTGTGACAGGGTTTGAAATATCTGTGTAGAGCAAGACTTAACCCTTGGAAAGACTCACCAATGCTCTTTGATATTTGTGTCCAGGAAAACAAATCCTGCCTGTTTCTACAGGAAATATCTAATCACAGTGGTAGAGGCACTACCATTTACCACTCATTTACTATGATACAGGCCATATCGTTTTAGAAATTACTAGGTAAAGAAAGCAAGCAGAAATCATTACTGATGGGACAGCTTACATGGCAGTTAGTGGCATCTACCCAAGCTACATCTATCAGCACACCTGAGCCAGGGTGGGACACCAAGTTTCTCAGCACACACCAGTACTCATGTAAGGTCATGGAGCAGCCACCACARTCCTTCTGTAGCCATAAAACCAAGATGCTGAAACCAGGGTGTTTGTGCCGAGTACAGCTGTGACCAGAGGGCGACTCTGGAATAATCTCTCAGTGCTCCCCCCAAAACAGAACCAGTCTCATTTGCAAAGTGCCCTCACCTATTGCTTACAGAAACAGGAACAAACCCAGCGCAATTTCAGAAGCCCAAAAACATGCAGCTTCCTAACACCTCCATTGCACTGTCGCAAGTTTAATTYCTCAGGGTAGCAAAACTGATTCTGTAACTCAAAAATATGCTCCGCTCTGCCTTCRACACTACATTCAGACAAAAGTTAGTCTTCAGGTTAGAAAATTTCTGGCCTCATCTTCAGCAAAATAAAGCCACATAGCATGTGCGGTTCTCTGACAGTAAAAGCATCAGAGGCAAAACAGCAAAAGATTCCTAATTAAAGAACTAGTATGGATAATTTTGATGTGTATGGCAGAATCAGTTTATTCAAACTGAACGGCATGCAAGTAAAAGGTTCCAAAATGTGTAAACAAGTGTTAGCCTCCCCARTTCTATGGGGATGATGTAGATAAATAAAAGGTGGCTGAAAAAAGTGTATACATTAAAGACATCCAATACAATTGGAATACATTTGCTATACTGCATGTTTGCACTTAGCTGGATTACTAAGAGGGAGGCCAAGCATTTTCAGGTGAAATGCTAGGTGGTACCTCAGGAAAATCACCKGTTATTCCTCGGTGCATCACAGGGCCTGAGAGCAAGGAGCAGAACCTGCCATGTCCTGCAGCAGGTGCCTTCGCAAACATTCAGGCTGCTGCTTTGTAGCAAAGCTCATCACGAGACCCTGTGCATTTGCACTGGGGCAGAATGAGGACAGAGGCTCCAGGGGCGCTGCTCTTTTCCCCTCCGGCAGCAGAGCTTCCGAGCGCCTCAAGCCCAGCGGGGCTCCTCATGCGGCCGCAGAGGAAGCCCGGAGCGCTCGGGAGCGGTGCGCTCGGGAGCGGTGCTGCGGGCAGGAGCCGCTCGGCTGCRGTCCTGCAGTGCTGGGTCACCGGCTGCGGTGCCTCCTGCCCACCCTGCACTGCCTCTCGGAGCTCCTGCACAYGCTCAGGTGCACCCTCCTCCTCACAGCCCGCTTCAAACGTGCCAAAACRAGCCAAAGGGTCTGTCACTAAACACCCCATACATCATCATGGCCCCATCATTTAAAGCTTTAGCTCTGGCAGGGCTCTCTCAACTTAAACAGGCATTTCTCTCTGCAAGATGGACCTTTTCAAGTGACTAGCTAATATCATACCCTGATGCTTAAATGCAAATAGTTCAATCCCCAAGTCTAATTTAAAAAGGGGGCTGTATTAAAAGGCGACGCTTTAATTTATTCCAGGCACTATCCTTCCTTTCAGCCTTCTTTAGGTGCAAAAGATCAATGTGTTCTGAAATCATACTCCCATCCCCTTTGCTTCCCCATCTGTTCCTATCTAAAGAACTGCCAGATGTGCAGCCTAAGCAGGGAGACAGAACATGGCACCTCCACTCACAGGAGCATTTAAGTTCCAGGCAACCATGATTTAAAAATTGTTTCCTTTACTACAAATACTCTAGGAACGAGAAGACAAATCATTCCTCAGTGACAGTGTCAGCTTCCCAGTTCATTACTAGCCCTAACTTCGCTTGCCCTTGTACTGCAAATTGGTTCAAAACTAACTGGGTGTTTTTTTTCTTTCACTGGACTCCTTTTCTGTCAGCCCCGTTCGGCACACAGCTGCACAAACAGCATATGGAAGGGGGCAGAGACTTCTCATGCAATACCATGGCTGGATGCACAACCTCCCATCTCCATGTGAGGAGGAACTCCTTCACTGTGAGGGTGCCAGAGCCCTGGCACAGGCTGCCCGGGGAGGCTGTGGAGTCTCCTTCTCCAGAGATCTTCCAAACCCACCTGGATGCCACCCYGTGCCACATGCTCTGGGTGTCCCACCTGGAACAGGAGGTTGATCTCAATGATCTCTAGAGGTCCCTTCCAACCTCAATCACTCTGTGATTCTGTGAAGAGCCTACTAGAAAGAACAGAGCCAAGAATAGCAGAACTGAAGCACCTGCATGTGTTCAAATGGGACAAGCAGCATAAACCTCACAGCTGGGACCTCCTCTGTAGCATGGCCCTCACTTCCTACCCCGTGTGCTGTGGAGCTTGYTGCACAAAGCTCCTGCAGCCACCTCCACCGCAGCACATTACGCAGAGACACCAGCCCTGCCTGGAGAGGAGGCTGCTGCCTCTGCAGACTGTCAGGCAACCCAGGTGTTCTGCTGGGTCACTGAACAAGAATTTGCCAAACAACTGCAGAAATATTTTAAGGGAATAAAGCTGGAAAGGATGAGATCTGCAGACAGGTGATAAAAGGTAAATAAGTTCTCTGGAGTTGCTTCTTCCTTAGTCTGAAGCACCTGGCACATGTCTTAGTTATAAAATCCAAGTATCCCAATAAAACAACCCACTGTACTTGCAGAGCTGGGGAAAAAAAGGGACTACAAACCATACATCTGAAGGATGCCCTTCCTTTTTAGGAAACTGGACAACACATTTGAAACCCCAACATCTGAAACATGTTGCGYTTTAGAAAATGTTTTAAAAAATACACCAAACAGCAGAGAGGATTTTGGCAGCTTARCAGTATTCTGCACACTGCCTAATGCTCAGATAATACTCTAACTCAAGGATGACTGCTAAGCTCTACCCTCAGCTAAAAGGTATCAATGGTGAGCAAAGCAAAGGGAGCAGATGCAGAAGCAGGTTTTCTATATCATGGACAATTAACTAATGTATTTATGAACAGAAAGAAATCTATCCTCACACTGAACACAGCAGGCTGGAAATTATTCCAAATTTCACACACAAGGACTTTACGCTTGTGAGATGTCAGCACAGTTTGGTAACAGCAGGGAAGGCCATGGGAACAATCCTGAGACTGTCAGGGAAGTCGGTTCAAAAGCTTATGGAAAACAGAAGCGAGAACACCCACCTTTTCTCCAAATAGCAGCTGGGTAAAGTTCAAGCCTACAGAGCAATCATGTGCCCTTGTTCCACTACGATAAATATGAGAGACTAAGCTGGGGCTTGGATCTTTATAGTATAAAGGGTTCTCCCTCCAGTTCTGCTTTAATTCTCACAGTTTCTTGCCAAGTGCTTGGTCCATGTGCACAGACACTGCGAACCAACCAACCAGCATCTGGAAAGATCACCTCAGTATAAGGTGAGCGTGAGAGGTACAGGACCAGCATAAGTGCTCTGATATCATGTCTAGAGCACAACAGCACAGAAAAGGGCAGTAGTGAAAAGCTCTGACAGCCTTTGCCTGCAGGCACAGGCAGTTGACAGAACAGAGTGCAGTTCACACCCAGACCTGGCTCAGGTTCCATAATATATGACTTAAAGCCCTCTTCTCTTTCCTCTTGAGTTACACATAGGGTAGTCCACCACTGCAGCAAGTTAAGCCAACAATTCAGAGGTGCTGGAAGTGCACACTGGTGGGAAAATAAGTTTCTTAAACAGAACATTAACATAAATGCAGACTGACTGTACCAAAATCACAGTCCAAAGCCTCTGCTCACACAGTAACTCATCAGAGAAGGAACAAATGAACTGAGCACAATGCAGTTTTCTCTTTCCAAAGCACAGTTGTTAAACACAAATAAATCAGATAAATTGGTGATAATTTACACACAGTCAAATGGTATTTTGGGTGAAAGTAGGTTTTTTTTTTTTAATCTTAAAAATGAGCTGTTTTGCTTCAAGGTATCAGTGCCTAAACATCAAGATACTGTGAAAGAAGTTCTATAATATAAATGCAATTTGAACACATCTTTATTATTTTCTAAGCCTGCAACCATCAAGAAGCAGATACTTAAAATACCTGCACCTAAGATTCAGTGCCAGTCCATAAAGAAGTTCTTAAAATACATTATGTGACACCCCCCCCCCACTAAGGAGAATAACCAGATATTGGGGCTTATATACATTTACACACCCCTGCACAGCAACATGCCAGCAGCAGCAACCAACCTTTAGTCTCTGTTTTGAGCTTCTTTGCTTTCACAACAACCCCGGCGTCCTGGTCTTCCACCTCTTGAATTTTGCGTTTCTTTGGAACAGTAGGAAGCGTAGAGTCCCCAGAGGGATCGTATATCTTAACTTCACTGTAATGAAGGAAACAAGTCAGTCCCAGTTACAGAAAGAGCAGCTAGCCCTACAGGCAAGATGCCACAGTGGAMTAACACAACCTTTCAAGAACACTCTCCAACCATGTTCAAAGCATTTACTGGTTGCCAGGTCCTTTCTCTTAAACACAGCTCAATCAGCAATCTTGACTACAGGAGATAACCTCATGAAGCATGACCATCTAGCCAGATGCARTGTACCTGCTCAAATGAGAATTCAGGGCTGGTTTTTAATCGCTCAGGGCTGTGCAGAGCACATACATTACCCATCATGTTCATCTCTTCACATAGGAAGGCCTTCCCATCACAGCTGTATGGTCACATACACATAGGGTTGAGAAGTCACTTTAATTCTTGCTTCTTCTGCATTATCCCTCCACTATTATGCTCACAAGTCCAAAGCAGGTAACCTACAGCCTATTTGGATGCTCCCTGTAACCAGCACTGACTTCATGGTGCTGCCAAATCCCTAACCTGTGTCTGAAGCCTCCTCTTCCTGGGTACAGAGCAGCCTTTTACTCAGCTCCTGACTCTTCTGCAGCCTAGTGAGCACCAGACACCCCAACATACAAGTCTCTGCTGTGTAAAGGCAGCCAAAAGTTTACTTCACCTAACACTAGATAATCAACTGGTTTCAGACTTGGTCAAAACAGAATTCCTACTGAAGGAAAAAGGAAACCATGAACTACTGCTTCCCCACCCACCAACTCATTCTGAGCATCCAGACTTCTTCAAAATCAAGCTACTCGAGCAGCTTCTTGCCACAGTAAATTACAAGCATCTCAGACTAGTGATTAAGCTGAGAAGCACATGGTAATGCCAGCAGAATCCTCAATTCCTCCTGTAAGTACCACAATTTATTCCAGTGGGTATGAACCCTGAACAACACACTGAAAAAATTGATTGCAGAGCCTTCTGCAACTGCTGAGTTCTTTCCAGGGTTTCTAACTGAAACAGAGTACACTGGCTTGCATGAGTCAAAACATTAATAATAAACTGGCAAATCACATAAGTCTGCCGAATATATATTCTTGAGAATATACTGAAACAGGGGGTTTGGGCCTCATCKCTACAAACTACCTTACAGTAAACTTCAAAAATATTAGCTTGATGTAGCAAATCCATATGGGATCCTCGATTTCATACATGACAAATTTTGGACGAACTGCTTAATACACCAGTTTAGCCAAACAAAAAGAAGCTCCATAAAACAGCAATACAGTAACTTTACATGAGAAGGACTATTTGACAGGGACTGAACCAGTTTACAGATGCTAGACTAACAGAGTACTGCTCCAGGTCAGGAACAAAATCCACTCCTGAAAGAAAAATCCTGAAACACTGATTTTTACCATTTATGTACAAGCTGGGCATTTTCACATCTTTCCCTTTCAGACAGGGAGACGAAGCCAAACAGCCAGAAGTTATCTGCAGCGCCTCTCCCCCAAGCCTGRACATGTCTGCAGAGCATGTCTAACAGTGGAAACATGTCCTGGCGGGACAGCATGACTCCCTTCTCCAGGAGATCAAAAACCTCCAAGTATGTTGTCTCCTCCCCACCAGCCTCCTCCTCAAGCGACTGCCTCCTTGGACTCACCGCTGCTTCCTTCACTGACAACCCTGTTGTCTTTTTTAAAAGCTTTCCAATTCTAGACACTGCTCCAGAAATCAGAGCCTTCATGACACTGAGATGTTTGGCACAGACTAAATTATAGTCAGGTTTGAGGAAAGAGGCCAGGAAACTGCAGATGGGTAAAGCAGCACATGCTTTCCTGACAAAACTTAGCAGCCCGCCCTACTTCTACACCAAAGGTTCACCAAAATAAGTAGGTCAAGTTGAACCAGAAGCTCTTAACCAAGGGGAAAAGCCCTGGTCACACAACTCAGATCAACAATAAACTGTTCCCAACTTCCTCCTCCCTCTCTCAACACTGATTTTCTCTGTATTTACACATTCAACTCATCAACATAACTCATCTGCAATTTAGAGTATCACTTCCAGTACCAGAAACTGCTCTAACTGCTTCCTGCCAGAGTGCAGGGTATTTACGGCTTACAATACTGTGCTACTGCATACAGGACATAACAAAAGGAATGAAGCCAAAGRAGTGCTTTTCATTTTTCATTTTTGTTTTAAGACTAATCAGTTTTCTTTAGCAGCTTTCAATCACACTAAAGACACTCATTCAAATTCTGATTTTTCTGAAATTTAAATTATTCAGGCTTGCATTAAAGCTGCTACATATTAACTCCTCAAACTATTCAACTTCTGATAACATCTAAATATACTCTCTATCTGATGGTACTGGAAGCTTACTATTAGAAAACCAGGACTTTCTCCTCCTCAATGGCTTTGCCACAACTGTATATTGCAAGTAAATGGAAATTCCCACTTACAATCAGTGTTTAAGTGCACTGAAAATGCTTTCTGGATCTTAATTCAGCCCACAACCAAAAAGCCTCTTACTAATAAAAATAAGGAGAGTTATACTCAGCCAGGCTGAAAGGAAAAACTATTCACCTCTTATTTTGATACTTGTCTGCCCTGGCCAAGGCTTTTCCAGTGCCACTTATTCTCCTTATCTGAAACAAAAATTTAGAAGTGAARAACAAGTTACTCATAATGAAAACAATTCACAATTCAAATTCCACAGTCCTTGAAAGGAGATAAAAATGGAAAGATAGGCATATTTTATTGGTCAGGCTCTACAAAACTGTACAAGTCTTACGCTTAGGAGTAAAATAGTGACAGGGAGATAACTGGAGTGAGAAAGAAGTGTGGGTTTTTTTGACGCTRCAAGAAGTCAATGCATCCTGCACCAGATCAAACATAGCATAGACATGTGATAGGCAGGATCACAGAACCATGCCTCTAAATTAACAGCACCAGTTCTTTGTGTACACTTTCCTGCAAATATTGATGCACGTCTGGACAGGCATTGCACTACAGCTGGCATCCAGTCAACCTAAAAACCCACAATACAGGCTCAAAACTTGATCTGGACTAAACATGTACTTATCAGGCAATCTGCTCATGTTTTGGTATTAAACAAGGCTCTCTGCCTTCTCTTCCACRGGAAGTGCCACCTAAGAAATGCTCAAGGAGGCGTGGGCAGGTTTTTCTGGATTCTTCTTTTTGTAGCAGTGATGCCAGTAGTACAGCATTAGCCTCAGAGATCCAGCTGCAAAGGCTGCAGAGTGATAGCTTAAAAGGCCACAATGCTGGTGTGCCACATGAAAGAAAATGCACCCTACGCTCCCGGGCATGCTGCACCAACGGCAACAGATGGAACAGGAGGTATGGAAAGGCAGCGTGCACAGTGCATGGTGATGGGAGTGCAGTGCAGCACTCCAGCTTCCACGCTAACAACTTCTTGCTTTGACTCTGGAGAGAGAGCTCCTAAAGACTTAAGCACAGCCAACCTGCAGACTTTGGGGAAATGCTGGAAATGAGAGGAATAAACAAAAATACCATAGGAGCCCTCTTCTAAGGAGGGAAGGAAGAATCAGTGATAGCAGATCACAGTCAAGTAGGGGGAAAAAAGAGTTGGAGAGCAGTGCATCAGAAAAATCAAATACCATAAACACAGGGAACACAGAAGTCAAATTTTAACAATATTTGCTTTATTGAGCCATCTGCTGGACTTACCCCTCTCTCTTCCAAATGCCTCAGTCTTGTCTCTACTTTTAATCTGTTCTCAGCTCCCATTTCAGCACTGGTATCATCTCCAAGGGCATCATAACGAATAGTCAAGGCAGTTTTAGCTGCCAGCATTCGAGAGATCTGAAAAAGGCAAAACAAGCATTAAGTGCTAAGAATGAACATAAGGTGATGATTCATTCTAATCTACAAACCATGCCCACAAACAGAAGCACAAAGTAACCACTTACTTTGGCTGTGTTGCACCTCAAAATACAATACATCACTGCTTTAGCATGGAAATACTGTTAACACAACAGCATGCTTTCTAGATAAATAGCAACATCTGAACCTAGCAAGTTACTTATATCTCCCACTCCACCCCAACCCTTAGACAAGGTCAACCAGAGGTGTAATTCCCAGCTGAACAGCTCTCCCCACAATTCAAATATGCAGCTGCATCAAAGCCTAAGCCCTGCAGAAGGGAGACAAGTTAAGGCCTTGAAGTACACACAGTAACCAATTTCCAAGGAAGGCTAAAGCCTGCAACAGCCTAGCTCAGTAGCACACAGAAGCAAGCAGGGGCATAACCTGGGAAAAGCCAACATTACACCAGAATTTGGCAGGAATGCATCTGACACTCCCCTATGTACTGAAGGGACAACCTCATCTTCTTTTTCCACCACAGGAAATGACATTCGAAGATTTGTGGGACAGGGGCAGCTTCCATATTACCAAAGGAACACAGTAAAGCAAGAAATGGAAAGAGCCTCATCACACAGCTCAAGGCATCTCATCACCATGCCAAGAAAAGGCCAAGCTGGTAAAATTCTGCAACTCACCTTTCCTTTATTTTTTGCAGTAGTTTGTCCCACTAGGGAAGCATGATAGATAAGGCCAAACTTGGGTGTATCCCGCTTGGTCTTCAGTGCTCTGAAGAGGGCCTTCTCAGCACCCAATATCTGCACTGTCGAAGCTGGATGCTTAGCTAGATTCAGGAGGGAACCTAACAGGAAGTAACACAGCAACATTAATTTACTAGCAAAGCAATTAGAGAAGCAAGAGACTAGATTCCTGAAGCAGGAAACGCAAAGCCTTCTATTTGCATATGAAGTGTTTTGTCTTCACTTCATGAAGTCATTTCTTGGTTTGATTTCRGCCCCAGGAAAGAGGGCTCACTCAAACACACTCCTCTGGAGCGATGTCCACTCCTGAGAGTCACACAGCAGGAATGTGCTGTAGAACCGAGTACGGACACTGAAATACAGCTACTGCTTTGAGTCAGTCTGACCTCAGAAACCCAGTGCCAGCTTTCCAGCACCAGACCTCAAACTATCACCACTGGGCTCAGTAAGTGTCTCAGAAGAGGTAGTGACTAAAGTTGCCCTCATCTTCTGAAAAGAATCCAGGCCAACTGAGAACTACATCATCACCGACAACTACTGTGCTCATGCCAGTATTCCCATTCCTCAAAAACCACCCTCCTCCCTTTTACCACAAGGTGTCCATCAGGTCCTTGGATAATGTTTTTGGCCAAGCAGCTCCTCAGGGAAAACCTCTTGACAAGGACATCTGAGCTTCCCATGGCACCCACCTGCATGAGCAATGAGCCTTGCTCCAACCAGTTCACCCACCATGACAGTGAGGTTGGGAGCAATGGCCATCATCCTATTCTTCAGGTAGTCATACAGCTGTGTCCGATACTCCGAGATTTCAATCACCTGGCACAGACAAAATCCAGTGACAAGAACCAGTATTAGCCAACAGCCAAATTAAGAGCCAAACATGCTGAAGTGAGAAAGCACTGAGGATTCCAATCAAGGAGACTAACAAAGTGCAAACTGGTCAGACAGCCAAAAGCCAGTTATTTAAAGCTCTCTATATAGGGCACCTTCCCAGTGCAGAGCCCCATCGAGGAAGTATACAGGACCTGGGCTGCTCATTCCCTTATACAACTTATTTTCTCAGTAAAGCTCTTGATAAGAGGGTTGACAACATGCCAAAGACAGCCAAGCAGAACAAAAATACTCAGTAAGGACATTTTCTTTAGGACAAAACCCTGGAACACTCAGTTTTCACATAAATCTTTGCCACCATTCTCTTGAAATGGGATAAATGCTCTTTGCTTGTTCCATACAAATACACATAATTAGAACACACAAAAAAGCAGCCCAGTCTAGACTGAGAACAGGAACTCTCTACTCCCAATCCTGCCACTCCCTGGCAAAGTCAAAGGGATCCAACTGGCAACACTGAAGGAGGATTTCACATGCAATCTAGACAAAAGCAGGGCAAAGCTCCTAATTCTCCTCAGTTTTCAGTTTTACTTTTAACCCACATGTTCTCAGCTACCTTCAAAACTACAAGAAGCTTCATTCATTAAAAGAAGGGTATAAAATACCATTCTCCCAAGCTTCTAAAAGCACACTGAAGCAGAGATTCCAGTCCAAGACTGCCACATTCCAAAGATTTTATGTAAACACTATCAGTCTAAGATGGCTCAGATGAGGTAGTGACTGAGAACCCTCATGTTTGTACATCAGGTGAGCAACATTCTAGGAATCATCACTGCCATCACAAAGACCCTGGGAAAACCACTCCTTGGCAGAACAGGCACTGATACAATTCCCAGAGTTACTAATGCTGTCCATCCACATGTACATACCTGGTCACAGAGGTGAATTATGTTGTTTATGTCTTCTTCTGATACTTCTGTCCCCATGGAAATCTCTGCAGCTGCCTTCACATCCTCTTCTATCTCCTCCGAGAGGATATCAGAAACATCAGAAGAAGCAAAATTTCTTCTGTCTCCTGCAGGGGATAAATAAAAGCATGTGTGTTGAGGCAAGATGAGCAAATTAAAGAGCAAATTGACAACGAAAACTCCAGTAACCGCAGTGGATTCAATGTACCATCTTCCTCTTCTGAACTCCCCAAACCTATGTCAAAGTTACCTCTTTTATATTAATACTATACAGGAATGGTTAGAAACATAACATTTGAAGCAAAAAAAAAATGTTCTGTAAACACCATACATTTCTTTTAACAAGATTACAAAGGAAAAACAGGAAATGATCAGTCAGTTACCACCAGCTATACCACCTACACACCACCAGCTGCACCCCTACACACACCTCTCCAACTTCAGTTGGAAAAAGTTCCATTAAAACTACCTGGTTTTCTAACTCCAAGTTTCATCAGAGGGGAGTGGAAAAAGAAGTCACTGAGTGTCCAAAACAGCGAAGTTGCCATTCTTTCTGTTCCAATGAACACAGCAGCTGTGGTCTCAGAACACCCACAAGCAGCTAGTAAGTCTTTACATCATTTTTAGCAGCAAGTTTCCACACTAGTCTGCTGACTGTGATTCTAGGAAGATATGCTGGTGGTCCATGAAGAACTGGTTGAATCATACAGCATTAAGTGTCCAAATGGTAAAACTGTACAYGTGCATGTACAGATTCAAGTGTACACTGCTTTCTGCTGGCCCTGCTTACATCACTGCTGATGGCAGGATACACAGCCATGAGTAGTTGGACAATGCAGATCTACAAATCAGTATCACAATGTGCCAAATAAAAGCAAACAACATTACCCAGGCTTGTGCCTCCTTATTACTCACCAACTTTCCGCACGCATTTACAGTATGTTAGGTTATCTGTGATGATTTTGCCAAGTTCAGGAAAGTGCCAACCRTACCATTCCCTACAGCGCATGATGTAGTTATTCAGTTCTTTGTCCAGGTCATCAAGAAGGGCTATAAGAATGAATTTAAATATTTTTAAAAAGGTAAACTCAAATCAACACATTTAAACACTGTAAAGGGATAAAGCCCAAATGTTTCTCAAAGACTGCTTGGAATAAAACAAACTGCAAGATTTTAAAAAAGCTTTCATTTTCAGAGAACTGCACAACTCCAAGCAAAGTAGAGAAATACAAGAATTCACAAGTAGGGCCTGAGCATTTTATTACTGGAACTGCCTGGGAGAAACAGCTCCTTTAACAGCTGCAAAATAAATTCACCCAGAAAGAGAACAGCAACTAGTGAGCTGCTTCCTCTCAGCCAGCCATTTGAGGTGTTACACACAAGTGACAGATAAAATTCAAGAAATAAGGTGACAATGTTGACAAACTGATTTTCTATTAAATCACTGTAGAAGACAATTTAGTCCTTTAATTGATAAAGGCATCTAGTACAAATGCAGTAGACTTTCCACTTAGTAGATATGACTAATAACTATTTGTAATGTAAGAGAACACCCACAGCATACATCGCTACAGAACCCTGAGGCTAAAATATTTCTCTAATGCAATACTAACATTCCCATCTGTTGTCTCAGTGGTAGTGACGAAGAAAACTAAATTAAATCATTATTTTCAGCTTAACCATGTTTCATCATTGACAACAGTCTGGGAATTAATATTCCAAACAGGATTCCTCACCATTGCTTCACAGCAAGCATGCTATAATGTAGGTGTCTTGAAGGAATAGTGAGATTTGTGTTTGGAGTTTAAGCATCTGTAAGAGGCTGACATTAGGGAAGCCACAACATGGAATGCAGCATTATACACTGCAGTGGTTCTTAGGGGTCTAACAAGGGTTTGCCACAAAACACCTCACACAGGTTATCGTTATAAGCAAAGCTTAGAAAATCCCACTCCGTGGGGCACAGACACCCTTCCAACACTACTCAAGTTATATGTGCTGGCAATGGAAGTTCTCAGAGGACTGGGCTTGTAATAACAGCCTGTACTTTAACTGATCTCTAGACAAAGAAAATTGACTACTGACCTCATTTTGCTGTATCACCTTAGTAACATTATTGATTGTTCAAAGACCTATTAAGAAAATAAGGCCTTTTCACTAGCTGAAGGCAATTGCCTGGTTTACTGAAAGACACTAAGAGGAAATCTGGACAGCAATGCTTTTCTACAGGCAATGTAAGAAAGTCCTAAACTGAAGCCATTAAGGACTTAAATTCTAAGTATACTTACAGATTGCCTGGACAATCATGGTGTCTACTTTGTCTGGGCTGAATTTCAACTTGTATCGGGAAAGGCTGAGGAGACAGAAACATGGTTTCATCAGCATCCTGACATCCCAGTATGGAGCACGTTCCCCCATTTCTATTTTGCATCAAGATCTTCATCCACAGTCATTCACACCAGCTCAGTTTTATGCTACTGACAGCTCCCAGCTGTGTCAGTGGAGAAACCCGCCACGTGTTTTCACAACTGCTGTGATGCAGCACACACCCATTAAMAGGGTGAAAGGGAAAGCTGGGGCTATCTGCATCACACGCCACAGGCAACATGAACACTGTGGCAGGAAATACGTTGCTGGTTCCTTTCTGTATGGCTCCCCACCAAATGCAGTATTTGTCGATAGTGTTTCCAGTTCTGCAGTGGCTGGAGCTGATCCCCCAGCTGTACATACCCAGCAGCAAGTACCAGCAATGTTAACAGGAAGCACTAGCAGAAACTTCCTCAGATTCCCTCTGGCTGCAAAAGACCATTATCATCCACCTGTCAATCCACACTTAACCTCTTAGAACACATCTACAGTTTGCCACAGTAAAACACACATGGCATCAATGAGGACACCTTGAAAGCTCTTTGTCAATATTAACCCCCATCCCAAATGGAATAAAACCCCAATCCAAAGGTATTTTTAAGGAATTACCAAAGGCAGAGAAGTTCTCTAACTTCTTGTTACTAATTTTGTTACAGAACAAAATCACATCAGAACCTGGATAAAAAGCTACTTGTTAATGAGTGCCTGACAGTGCTGACCCAGTGATTTGGTATGAGGCCATGACATCAAGGAAGGAAATCTCTGCCTTTAATATTCACATAATGCATTATGAGGAAGCCTCAGAGTTGTGAGCACTCACCAGACCCAAAGGCAGCCTCACAGTTCTTGGCAGCAAGGGAGTTACATGAGTCAATTAAAACCACTGCAATGGGGATATGATAAACCCAATGCTAAAGCACATAACACGCACAGGGAGACTATCTACTTCCTCTTTGGGAAAGCTGAAACCTCACCCTAAAAGACAGCCGAAACATGATGAAAACTCTTTCCATATAAAACTAGACTTCATATACAAATACACCTTGAGTTACATGCAGAATGAGTAGAAGATCTGGTCACATTAGAGACACTCCAAGCAGCATAGTATGGGCAAAGGCACAGAAGTGGGGAGGAAACAGAAGGAGAGGCACTACTGGCAACCTACCTGTGTGCTAGGCCCAGACACATAGCTGCCATCTCCCGAGAAGGGAGGCCTGTGATAAGCCCTTCAATCTGCGAACGAATTCCCCTCATCAGCTCTGTAACCATTGGGCTGTGAATACAGCTCAAATTCAGCTTATCCTGCAGGATACAAAGAAATGGTCCAAATCAAGCACAAAATTGACATTCTTTAAAAATTTTCTTCTGGTAGCATCATCTCGTTATACCTGGCTTTTCTACTGCAATTTTACAGTTGGACAGTCAACTGGATCAGCCTTCTTGGATGATGCTCAAGGCAGTAACACCCTCAGTCTCCCAMATTAACAGCCCCTCAGCTTGAAGAGATTTATAATTAAGGCTTTTCTGCTATGCAGACATTGGAACTGACAACTTGGGTCTTTACAGTTTACTAGCAACAGTTTAGCATCAAGGAGAAATAATTACAAGCTAAAAGCCTAGGGGATATCCCACACCAGTCTCCTAAGGCACCACTAAGACATGGGCACAATAAAAATCTTCAGAACAGGTTAGCAGGGTCAGGAGACTGGGATTCCCAGGATTTGACACCTAGGAGAAAGCAATCCATCTCTTTCATACTTTCATTCTAGACATTTTCCCAGCCTACACAACACACATTTGATAAGGTTTAGTTTTCTCCAACACCACAAACAGCACAGGTAAAACATTCCACTGCTAATGAAACAGGAACCTGTTTATTATATTTTGGGAATGTATGACAAAGGAAGAAAGGCAAWGTGAGTTCTCACTTTTATGACACCTCCAAGTTTGGCATCTGCTACAGCCAGCTGTTCATGGGCATCTTTTGCCACTATCTTCTTAAGAATTTTCTTCAAGTTCTTGCTGAGCTTGCCTTCTACAAGTGCTGTAGATGCTGCAGAAAACAAAAGGAATAAAGATGYACTTTCTTTTCCCCTCCTAAAAACGGTAACACTAGGGCTCCTGATTTGTTAATTTTTTTCAACTGCCCACAATAGCTCATTTGACTTGCAACACTACCTCATTATGCAACAGCTTAAACCAAAATAAAGAAAAAAACTATAGATGCTCATCCCTTTGGAGCTCTAATTCAAAACTCTTCTCCCAAATCCCTCTACTTCCTCCACGTGGCTCCAGTTCTATTTCTGAAAACTGTGTTTAAGGAACTCTACAGATAATGTCATATGCTTTAGATGCATGCTTAACACCTTGGCAAGCATTGGAACATTTATTGTATGATTTAATTACCCAACCATCTTTTAGGTACCTTTGTCAGTAATGACTATATTCTAATTTAAATAATGTCCTGTGTCCCCTAGCAATGGCAGTGCATTATCCAAAGCCCAACAAAGTAGGAAGCCAAGTACACTGACTGGGGGACCAAATATGGACTCTCTTAATATATACACTGCATAGACGAAAGAAATTTTAAAAAGACATCTCCATTCTTGAGTATTAATATAACAGTAAAAGCTTTACAATTCCAAGCAGTATACATGTTAAGACTACACTTATGCAATTCTGTGCTCCACTGAGCTTCAGATCAAYGCAGCATCTTAAGCACAGCACATGAAGCCATTGATCTGTGATTCCCAAAACTGTGATGAAAAGCAAGAGTAAAATCTGAAGTGTTATGCAGAGTTTTCCTTCCATCCTTCATGAGTATACTGGCCAGTAAYGCCTAGTCCACTTAAAGACACATTGTTTTCCCTTCAAGAAGTATGGCACTCCATTTCACAGATTAGTAAATGTGACAAAGTAATAGTGTTAAAAAATGCACATTCACAAGAAAAACCAACATGTAGCAACACATTATCTAATGGTAGCAACTCCAATTCTGCAGAGTTTCCTTGGTTTCATTTAAAAAGCTGCTATCCCTGCTACATCAGAGTATCAAGACCCATTCTTTGGTCACAATTGCAACAGGTAACATCCACCTACCAATGTCAGAACAATGCCTACCATTCAGCATCCTGCTCAAACTAATCCACAGCATCTAGTACTGAAGAGCTTAAATAACACARAATATTCTATATAAGGCTTTTTCCATTTTGTTTAAATTAACAAATTTCTTTAAGGCACAACACAGGCATTTCTGCGGCTGCAGAAAGGCAGGCACAGTATGCATCACTAAACCAAGAACAGCTGTAATGTATGTACTCCCTCGACTGGACTCCAGCATGTTGTCTCAGTGGTAGTGACGAAATGTTGGCTGAAATCATTTATATTCAGCTCCTGAAAGAATCCATCACTGACAACACAGCTCGTACCTCAGTCAAAGGCTCTATTCATTGCTCATTAGTGAACTGCTTATGCAATAAGCGTGGTAGGAAAACTAGACCTCATTAGGTCTCTATCAACCTCCAATGAAGTAGGTGATCTCATAAGACAAACAAAAGCRGTTACCTTTGAAGAATTTATAATCTAAAAAAACTAAACAAGAAAGAAAAAGAGAAAGGACAGAGGCAAGGAATGGACATGTAAAAAGCTTTTTTTGTTTTTTAATAAAAATGGTGTTACCTTTCACTTACCAGCAAGTGCTTCCGTTGTGTCCTGAAACTTTTCAAAGTGTTTCAGCTTTACACTACAGAAGAAAAATGTGAATGTGTAAACGGATCAATAAACTAGATGCTACATCTCTTTTTCCTGTCTCTATTATATCTCCCACTAGGTCTCCACTTCTTCCTAGGATTACAATAGAGCAGAAATCAATATTCATTGTCCCAATAAAGATGAAGAAAACTAAATCCACTGATTAAGTTTGAGCCTGCTGAGGTTCTTCAGCTGTGTCACACAATCTTTATTAAAAGAAAGCCCTAAAAATTTCCAGGAATTTTGATTTAATATTTCTAATTAGGACCAGCACGATCAGAAAACTTGAGCCACCTCTTTTTGTAGCTCATATTTAAAGACAGACATCATCCATCCAAATGCTAATGCTGCAGATAGATGAAACAGGTGTCACTGCTGAGTGATTGGTAGTATTCATAGTCTTCAAAATGCAGCCTTCTGCCTCTGGAACGCAGAGTCCTGCAGAGTCTAGAYCTAATGTGCTTTTTAACCAAATGCACCTTCAAATACTTTAAAACTGAACTGATTCATTGCCCATGAATTCTCTGCTCCTTCCCCRTAATTAATGTTAAAATAGAAGTTCAGGTTAGGCTTAAAAAAAGAATTATTAAACAAAAAACTGCCAAACTACTGATTAYGGCCAATAAGCCTATGGACACTGTTTGACTACACTGTGTCAGCTCCCTAGGCCTAGTYCCCTTCTCCCCCTCACAATCTCTGGTGCTGATATCTCAAGTAACAGCTATGAAGCTATCTCAATCCAGTAAATTCCTTGTCAAGGCCAGGCATTTGACTAATCCAATTCTGATTAACTGCTGCTCTTTGGGAGTCAAGTATCTGCAGAGGAAGCAAGGTCACAGATAAAGCTGAATGCTTAAGTTAAGCATTTGCTGCACAGCCCAACAGAAGCTCCGGGCTTATACTGATACMTCTTCCGAAGCACATGAAAGATGGGAATTAACTCGATCAGCACCATTGGAAATGAATCCAATCTAACAAGGGGACAGGATATTTCTACAAAATTAACACCACTGCAAACAGTTAGTGGAATGTGGGATATTCTGTCCTGTACCTCAAGCACTTTTACAAAACAGGACAAATACAAGGCATAACCTGTTAAGATGTACCTGTAACTACTAAATTTCATTAGAAGTTTTCCCAAATAACACCCTGGACCCAGACTTGGAAGGAATATACCACCAACTGCAACCACRGGACAATTTGCCAGCTTGATTTGGCTGCTGGACACAAAATCCTCCTACAGCTACTCGGCAACACCAACAGTCACTGCTGACATGGGCAAYAAAACTAACTCCCAGTTCAAGGAAAGTTGCATACTATTAGTTTCAGCCAGATTAAACCAATTTTTATTTTAAGACTGCCTATGAACACAAGTATCTGTCATTTCAACCAGTGTAAGCATTACAAGCTTGGATATTGTTCTCAAGGCATCCAAATCTCTTCAATATTGTTCAATTTTTTGCTTCAGTGGCACATTATAATCATTTCTAGAGTCTAATTACACAGCAAGAAAATAAAAGTAGCTATTTCTTTTCATCCATTTTGAGATTCCACTTTAGTTCCCTTGAATATCTCACTTCCTATCTTTGTTCACAGCTTTTAATTTTACAATGGGGGGGAAGGGAGGAAGGGGGATCAATATTTCTACTGGAGCTCAGATGTGCATAAATACACATGCAGTCACGTTCTTCCAAAAGCCAGGCTGCTATTCCACATAAAGCCACTTACATTTTGTTTGCTTTCTCAGGAGTTTCAAATTCTTTCCATAAACTGTCGACTTCTTGAAGCTTCTTCTCATTTAGAACCTATAGATAAGAAATCAGAAAAAAAAGGTATAATTAAAACTCTTTTCATAAGCTTTCCACTCTGCATTCAGAGAAAAGCCAAACCGGGTCCATGTCGCTTCCTGCCACTAGAAGTTAGGTCAGATATGAAACAAATTCAATTTTGGTGATCTCTGGTTTCAATGCTTTCTCTCAGCAGCTTTMTTCTACTAATAGACAACTGTACTGAAAGCATTTTATTATCAATGGAATTACATAAGTTGCTCAATAAAGGCTGGGTCCTTCTGAACCTGCACATCAAAGCAAAACCCTCTCCTTGTTTATCAAAACTGGCCTCACTCCACCTCCTGCAGGACTCGCACACAACCCCAGTGACCCAAAACCAAGCTCACCACTACTCACTTTGGAAAAACACCAGAAAGTCTGAGACACCTACCAGGAAGGAGTGATCTTATCACAAGTTATTAATCTGAGTTGACCCACAGAACAAAGAGGATATTTCCATGAGGACAACTGTTCACCACAGCTCTGTAACCAACTGAGCCTAAAATTACCTAAGAGGCAGCAATGGCTTGATCCTTCTCTGTGCAAAGGAGATTCCCTCTTAGTTTTTAAACTTCAGAAGGTTAACAGTCATACTATCAATACTCCATACATTTCATGAAATGCAGAGTGTACTGAGAATTCCTAGAAGAGTGCTCAGGGAAATAGCTCCATGAATATCTTCTGCGTCACTCAAAAACAATGGCTTGTTATCCCCACAGCTAAGTCCAAAACAGCTACAGTTTGACTCGGTACCACACTGAAATCTCCAGAGATTATGAAATTTTGGTTCCTCACAGATTTCCTCAGCACTCCCTTTCCTCAGTGTACCAATTCTTTGTTCCAATTCATCCTACCTATCTCAAGGCAGGCAGAATTGAGTCTCCGTAACAGACATTTGCACAAAGAGAGATACAGAGACAYATGTCTCCAAATGGAGGTTGTTGGCACACAGAAGTTACACATGCCTGGGAATGTCATGTGTCCCACAAGATGCAAGACTTTTCATTGGAAAAGTCTTCCAAGATTTGGAATATAGTTGTGGTTTTTGCCCTAACAGAACTCTGCTTGTTCCTCTTTAATGGAAGAAAAACCTACTAGGACCACCTGAGAGCTCCCCAGTTTACGGGACAGATCTGTCAGCAGAAGATAAAGCACAGTTATAGTGGCAATGGACAGCTCTGGGCACTGCTGAAAAGCTGCTTCCCAAAATTCAGATGTCCTAAAGCCACCCAAAGGCTACCAAAACAGAAAAACAARCAAAAAAATACACATGTAGACTAAATTCTACAGAGATAACTGCTATGAAATGAATACATTACAACCACCACGCATGTTTGTAGCTCAATAACTACTGTGCAAGAGAAAGGAAAGCCATGAGACTGCAAGCTCCACCTGGAGCTCAGATTCATACCCAGCCTGGGCAGCTGCAAACTGATAGCAGCTTGTCTCAAAGCACAAGATTCAGTAAAATGCTACTTACACTCACACGCTGCCAGCAGACTCCAGCCCTCCCACAATCCAATCCAACACCCTTTGCCATGCACTCGTCCCCACGGGGCAGGTGCTGAGAAGGCCTCATGGAAACGCTGCTTCCTGCTGCCTGGTGCCCTCTGGCTGCGTTGCACACACATCACAGCCAGGCCTCACACCGCAGCCACAGGGACCTGCAAGAAGCTGCAGAACTTCCRCAAGGCAGCTTTTCCTCTTTATGCCTTTCCATCTACTTTTGCTTTACATCTACTGGGCTCTAAGCATTCAAAGACAGGCTATTTCCATGCCTCCCTGTTTCTGCAGTAGATTAAAAAGGGCCTTGGCTCCCACCACAGGAGGTTCCAGCCTAACTAGAGATGCTGCTTTTTTTTTTTCTTTTCAATCTMAAGACCAGAAGTTATGAACATCAACCACTGTGAACATCCACTGGACAAAGCCTCCAGTGAGGCTGACAGACTTCAACTCCTTGGATGCAAGAAGGAACAAAAAGRAACTTTTCTTTCAGATCCATTTTCATTTTCTCCCAGAGGGAGATGTCTTGAAATCCTCCTTGCCCAAGCTGCACAGCTGCATCCCAAAGAGGAGGAAGGTTTCAGGGCAGACCAAACAAGCACCAGGTGTGCTAAGAAAGTAGTTATACAGGCTAAAGCAAAGCAAACCAGCACCATGCTCTCCTTGCATCCACACTAGTGCTTGCAAAGCCAAWCAAAAGAAATATCTGGCTAGACGGAGAAGGTGAGAAAAGTAATAGAAACACCCAAGTGCCATCAAGTTGCATGAGGAAGGTYGTTGCAAGACTACACGAGTATCAACATTCATGCAAGAGAAGAGACAGTCGATGTGGCACCCAGTGCTCCAGCTGAGCCTCATTAAAGCCATAGCAGAGCTAATAAACTGTGAATCACAGTGCCGTAGAGCTGGAGAACCACTACAGCTGGAAAAGAGCTCGGAGCTGACCGAGCGCAGCCATCAGGCCGGCAGGCCATCGCCACACACGCGCGGTCGGCTCCCCCGAGGCCCCAGCTCGGCGCCGAGCGCAGGGACCGGCGGCCGCTCCGGCCGCAGCGCTGCCGGCGAGGCGCTCAGGCCGCGGCGGCTGCTCCCGCGTGCGGGAGCGAGCCGGGCCCGGGCGCGGCTCCCCGCCGCCCGCTGACAGCCAGCGCCTCTGCGGGGCCGGCAACAGAGAAGGCGGCCGCACTTCAGCTATGGAGCATCTCCCAGGGCCGGGCCGGGCCCCCGCGCCTCACCTTGAAGATGGCGTAGCCAGCGGCGGTCTCGAAGAGCACCAACATGGCGGCAGCGGCGCCAACGGCCGCTAACGGCCGCTATAACGGCCGCCCGGGAAAGGGGGCGCGCGGCCACGTGAGCCAACGACCGGCAGCCCCCGGCCGAGCACACGCGCCCGCGCCGGAAGCGGAAGTGATGCCACGGGAAGGGGCGGCGCGAGCGCGTTTCCCGCGCGCAGCCCCGGCCACGTGGCAGCGGCGCCCGCCCCTCCCCTCGGCGCCGCGCACGGCCCCCCGCTCCCCCCCCCCTCCTCCCGTTCCCCCCCAGCCCCATGGCGGCCCCGCAGCGCTCGGCGGCCCCGCAGCGGCGGGCGGCGCGTTTGGGGGTCACCGCAGCGCAAGGCGAACGCTAAACAACACGCGATTTACCCCCGCGGCCCCAGCGAGGGGCACGGGCCCTCACTGCTCCCCAACGCCTACCCGAGCAGCACAAAACAAGGGCTGAAGCCCCGGAGTCAGGAGAAGCAGCAGGAAAGAAGACCCAGGAAAATCCATACCAGTCCCTGGCCATAACCTCTACAGCCAGTGGGAGCTAAAGGAAATGAGGCCCAAGAGAGGGGTTTTTATTGGCGCCGGGTGATTGGGATTACCCGCAGGTGGGGCTGTTGGAGAGGTTATAAAGCACCTGAGCCCCCAAGGGGGTCGTTAGGAGGAGTAACCTCAGTGGGGGCTGCAGCAGCGAGGGTGCCGCAGGGTGCTTTGGGACACTCCTCATGTATGTGTACTTATATTTTAAAAGCTCTTGCTATGCTTTAAGTTTTAAGGTGCTGTGTGTTGATTTTAGGCTGTGAAGGAGGGAATGGATGATTTTTGGGGTRCTTTTGCAGTTTTTGAGACTGTGTGGGTGCTGTGTACACATATCCTGCATCATACTGGTGCAGCCACAGGGATAACGTGGCTGTGGCTGAGCTCCCACCCAGGTACCTCAGGCGTGTGCCAACTGTGGGGGTACAGAGGGGGCTTATAGCTTGTCTTTGTTGTTCTTAATGCAGGTGTGTGAAGGAAAATGGGGCAGACCTGGGAGCAGCCCCTGGTTTTGTGTGTCTGTTCTGGTAGAAGCGCCTGTAACGTCTGCTCCAAAACCGGCACGGCCCAAAATGTATTCGAGAAACAGATACACTATGGAAACACGCCGCGGGCCTACGTGTAGCATGTATGTTTGTAGGTCCGGAGAGGCGCGCACACGTGTACGTGTCCGCGCGCGCCGGCGCCTTCCAGAAGGTTCCGCGCGGCGGCGGGGCGTGGCCGGGGGCGGGGCTCGCGGCGGCGGAAGCGGCGCGCGGCGCAGCGGAAGCCCCCCCCGCCTGGCCGCGGCCTGTGCGTGCGCTGCGCTGCGGCGGAGGAGAGCAGAGGGCGAGCGGAGCGGAGCGCAGCGCCAGCCGCGGCCCGGCCCAGCCCAGCCCGCCCCGCGCGACGCCATGTCGGACCAGGTAGCGCCCCCGCGGCCGGGGAGGGCCCGCGGCGGGGCGCGGGGCCCGCCCGCCGGCCGTTGGCCCGCACGTTGGTGCTGGGGGGGCCGCGGCCTCCCCGCGGGCTGCTCCGAGCGTGCGAAGTTCGTGGTGTGCTTGAGGCTCTTAGATACGCGGCCTAACGGCAGCCGCTCGGCGAGTTAGGCTGAGTACGGGCGCTTAAATTCACACGCTGCGAATACTTGTGCTAAACACCGGCCGAGCCGTTGTTATTTGCGCCTAGGGGCTGGCGGGGGGGTAGCRTGTGTGAAAAGGCCTCAGCGGACACGTTAGTAACAGCACGGAGAGCAGCGAGGAATGTGACACCGTGGCTCTGTTTATCCGTCCCGCTGGAACAATCRGATTGCCCCGAGTTGTGGGTTGTTTACGACATCCTCTTTATTTTGGTCCCGGGGTCACCATGCGAGGGACATGTCGTTTGTCAGTAGTTAGAACTCCAGCTTTTTTAAAAGTAAACAAAGAGGCATCCTTGGTTTATTTTCTTTGTTTGCTGCTAAAAAAGCTCTTACTAAACAAAACCGAGCTTGTAGCCACAAGGGTAAGCGTCTAAAAACACGTGGCTCCTTGGTGGGATCACTGCAGAGGGGGATAGAGAAGTACAACTTCTTACTCCCCTCCTGCTGCGGAGTCTCAGACTGTTTGTATTCCAGTTTAGTCTAGATGAAGATGTTTTTTATCTCTTTTGTGGCTAGGAAATGTTGTGGCACAATGGTGCATACTTTYCCATTTCCGTAACAAATGTATGAGCTTGCTGTGCCGAGATGCGTGGTGTAATCTTCCTCCTCTTGTAATTTTTGTTCCAAAAAGATGGTCACGAATGTGCTGAGTAGGGGCTTCTTTCAGGCTTGAAGTCAGAACGCTTCAGAATAAGAGCAGGCAGAGTTTGTTGGAGGAAACTTGCAATAAATTRTCTGACAGTGTTTGTTTTGTGGTTGCATTAGTGGCAGTAGCAGATACCTGGCACACGGGGTTGTGTTTCACCCAGGGCACTTTGAGTGCGTTACGGTCATAAGCGTAGTGTTAATATAATTGAGACAGTATTAGAGACCTCTTTCTGTGCTATTTAGGAAAACTCTGGGACCAAGTATGTAGAAGCTTAGGAATCTAGTGAAAAGCTAGACTTACTGGAGAGCTCTGGTTATGTTTGTTTTCTTATGTAAATCTCTGATACGCCCATAAACATCATTCTTCAGCAGTTCAGATAAGAGCCTGGGTGTTTGCTTGGGTCTTTCTGATCTTTTTTTAATGCTTGTAATCTAGTAAATTTGCAATCTGCTTGCTGTCTTCATGACTATTTTTTGTTGGCTTTTCCACTTGGCGTTGAATGGCAGTGTAGTTAGCACTGACAAAACACAGGGAGCTGTTTCAGACTTGCTGGGTCTTGTTGTATTCTGATTTCAAATCTGCTGCTTTCTAAACTCAAGTTACTGTTTTTTTAGTGTTGATTTGATCCTATTTCCTTTATTTTTCTTCATTCCCTCCTTTTGAAATTCCAGTGCTACTGCTCGCCCTTGTTTTTGAGGGGAAGGCTGCTGAGGCTTTGGGCACCTTTGTGKTAGGCTAATGTTTTAAGCCTCTGCCTTTTCTACCAATTGTCTCTTTGGTTTCTGTACTGGTTTCTAGTACAGGAGTTTCCTGCTCCTGAGGGTCAGGAATCAAGTGTGTCATGAATCACTCCTTTCCACTTATAGTGGCCAGAGATGCTGTCATTGTAGTGGTGCTGATTTGTCATACCCAGGGCAGAATAGTTTGTTATGGAAAACGTAAGAGATCTGCTAGAATGCATGGAGCTAGACAGACTACTGCAAAGTCCTTCGCTGCTCTGCAGTGGAGTTCCTATGTCTTCAGGTCAGACACTGACCTGAAATGTAATGGGAAGAGATGGGCTGTTTTGATAATTTTGGTGGGAAACAGCAAATAGGCAGACAGTTGAATGTTAACAGGCGTTGAGTGCATCTGAATCATGTTTGGATTCCCAGCAGTTAGCAGTCCTCTGTACAGACAGAAGAATTACTGTAATGACCGTCCCTATGGAAGAGATTCYGGAGATGGGTCTGCGGGGCGAGTTGCAGTTTCTCTTTGAGTCGGGAGTGGCAGCCAGCCTATTTTTATTCCCCAAATAGTCCCACAAGATCAGACTTGTGATATGCTGGAAAGGGAGAGCTTAGCTAGTGAGTGCAGTTGCTGTGTTTACATGTCAGGAAAGACTCATTTGATGCTTTAGAAGTGACTTGAGGCCTGAAGACCAGGACTGGGATCTTGAAGGCTTGAGGCTGGTTTCTGACTATGAATTTGGAGGGTGAAGAATCCTAGCATTCCAAATAGGTGCCTAGCTGAGTATYTAACATCATTCAAAACAGTTGGGATCTCCTCATGAATTTTTTTTTTGTCCCAAACCAAGAATGGATCTAGCTGAATGCAATGACTTAATAAAGAACCTCCTCTCCAGTGTGATACTTGCACAGATAGCCAGGCGAGATGTGTGCAGGCTTTTCCTTGCTCCCTGCCCCCTGAGGTCTTGATATTCAAAGTAGTTGTTAGTGTTTAATCACCTTATAAAGAGGTAAAAAAGCTTGTTAGTTTAATCTGGAGATACAGATTAATTCCATCCATCCTTAGAATTCTCTAAGGGTAGTATGTGTGTTTGTTACTTGATCCCMAAAATCTAGCAAAAAGCCAGTTTGCCACCAGGAAAATACACATAGTGGACACCTACACATATTTTGCTTTTGACCATTGTGCTAAGCAGTCAGATACAAAAGGAAGATGTAAAACATGATCAGAAGAATGTCCTTGTTCCTGATGACTTGGGTGGATTTCTTCATTAAGCACAATCTGGATCTGAGGCACTAAGATCCCTTTGTGCTTTAATGGAATATAAACAAAGACCCCATCCACCATATGTAGTGATGGGTGAGGGAGGAGTTAAAGTACCTGATCTCATTCACCTGTCAGCAGTTAGTCTGAAAACTTAAATCTTGAGTCTTGAATCTCATGTCTTCCTGAACCTAGCGTTTAAACCTTGCTTGAAGAGCTTTTGTGCTTAAATAGTGAATCAAACTTGCCTGGAGTCATTCCTATCCTAGAAAGGTATTAAAACATTGTAGTTCTTAGACCTTAAAAAAAAAAAGAGCATTTAAGAATGGTGGTCTGATAGCAAGTATGCTATAGCAAGGAAGCAGTTAATTGTTGCTGTTGACATTGGAAGGGAGCGGGCTGGCTGTTTTTTTGAAAATAGTAAATACTGTGCATGCAATAGAAAGACTGAAAAAGTGTTTGCATGGTTCACTTTGTGCTGGTAGGGTGTTTCAAGTGTTCTGTTTACTCTTGATTGCTTATTTCTTGTGAGTCTGTGTGTTTAGTTTCTCTTTTGCTTCTGGGAATGTGATGTAAAATTGTGGGGTGTTTTTTGTTTTGTTTTTGTGTCTATTGTAAGCTGTTTGCAAATGATCTTTTGCAAATCTCTTATGTTCTCCATGGTGCTTCTCTTTCATCTTCAAACTAATTCTTAGCATGCTGTTGTAGTCTTTCACAATGCTTTGTCACTGTTAGTTTTGTACACAGAAAGGAAGAAGATGCCTTGGGAAGTTTGTATTTAGTGGGATKTAGGAAGAATGGTAGCTGTCATTGTCCAGTGAAAATAAGGCATTGTACTTTATCAGAGTTTTTTTGAWTTTGCTTTTCTTGCAGGAAGCAAAACCTTCAGCTGAGGACTTAGGAGACAAGAAAGAGGGAGAATACATTAAACTCAAAGTCATCGGGCAGGTGAGTTATATGATTACTTTTGGATATTTGGAGGTGTAAGTTTTTAAATAGATTAAAGAGATTTATTAAATTGCATTTTAACTGAAATTAGTGGAGATTAAAATTGGCACTGAGTTTTTCTGATCTAGATTTTTCCAAAGCAAGTTATCTGTTGCTAGTGCTGTCTGTTGGTCTACTCCAACTGCTTTTGAAAAACAAAGCTGTTGTCCTGATTGAGAATTTGGACAGTGGATTCCCTGTCTTAAAGCTAGAGAAAACAATGCATTTAGCAAAGATTTTTTTCTGAAGGCTTAAGAAATATTGTGGCAAAACTGAAGTTTAGTCCTTCAGAGTTTACTTTGCTCGTAAGCCTGAGGTGACCTTGGGCAGGGATCAGGAGAGGATGCTGTTGGTTACCTTGGTGGTAGCTGTGAGGGGTACATCCCAGGTCTGCCTCGAAGTTGTGTTGGGATGAGAATGTCTCCTTGAACACAAGTCCTCAGCAAAGAAGCCCTGGTTCACTTAATCTGCCCTGGTAATGTGTGTTGGAAGTATTGGGGTGACTGCTTTGCTGACTGGAGGCAGTTGACCTAAGAAGTCCTCAGCATAATTAGCTTACCTCTTGCTGGTTCAATCAGCACCAGTGAATGCTGATTAAAAGGTAAATGTGACCCACTTGCTGTATGTGCAGAATCTCTTGCAGCTGGTTGTATTTGCAGCCATTTTGACAGTCCTAGCTGGATACCTTTAGCTGGTAGGAGGGAGTGAAGAATGGGATGCAAGAGTTTGCTTTGGGTAAGTGGTGTGTTGCCAAGTCRGCCTGTATCCTGATGTCTAGATAATTACGCTAGCTGAACAAGGCTTCATATAAGTTTTGAAGCGCAAGCTTAAACTTGTCTCTTCTGGAATCTGAGAGCACGAGTCCCCTACATATGTTTGTATAAGTACATCAGCTGGGTAAAAGATGGAAGCACAGACTGAATAAAGTATGCTTTTTTAAAATTTTAAATCTAATCTCCTCTGTAGTGAGCCTTGGGCTGTATCAGACCATCTGTTTTAAAATAAAGCGTCTATAAAAGCAAGTGAATGTAATGCTTCATAATATGGTACTCAAGGATGATTTGCTAGTCACCAAAGTATTCACAGCAATGGTTAAATTCTGTTCAGAGCAAGTTTAAGAGCAATAAAGTCTTAAAGCTTGTGTAGATGAAGTTAGCAATTACAGCAAAAGGGATAACACTTTTTTTCTTTCCTGTTTTTAGGACAGCAGTGAAATTCACTTCAAGGTGAAAATGACAACACACCTCAAGAAACTCAAAGAATCATACTGTCAAAGACAGGTTTGTCAAGCTATGGCACTATCTTTTTAAAAGAACAAGCAAAGACCATTTTTGCTTCTCTGTTTACTGTGTTTGAGACATTGTGATAGGAAGGCCTCTATTTAGATATTAGCAGGACATATATCTGATAGGATAAATATAATTTATCTCTTTTGGCAGGTAAAGATAATTTTATTAAAAAGCCTGTTGCAAAATTTGTAATGAGTCAAAATCACTGGCTGAAACTGGATGATAGCTGTTTGGAAAAAAGGTTACCTTTTAATATGCCCAGATATATATTTATAGCTACTGTAAAAATCTTGCTACTGCAAGTGAAATCCYATGAAAGCTGCAGGATTCTGATGCTGCAGACAAAAAGGCAGCATTACACATAGCTACTGTTTTTCATGGGGTGATTGGCTAAGATCAGCTAATATTAAATTGAATAAACCTGCACTATTAATGTTTGATGTAGGCAAGTGTAACCACTGTTACTAAGACAATAGTTAATCATCTTCACTTTAAAAGTTTGTGGCAGATGCTATGGATTCACTGCTGCTAAGTGCAGGGGATTTGGCCTCGTTTATTCCAGCTTTGGGGTTAAAAGATGCCTTTTGTGTGGTCTTTTTTTGAGCAATTGTGTTCGAATCCATTTCAGTAAATGCAGTTCTAAGAAAACACAAAATATTATTTTATAATACCCTGAGACAAGTTGAACTTGTCARTGGAACTGCTCTTTTGTAGGAATGTTTGCTTGTGTGTTCATGCTATGGTGTGTTAGGTTTTCTGTGTCTCCATACACTGATGCAGCAYGATACATGCTGCGTACCCCTACTAGGGTCGGGGGAGAGAGAAGCTAAGATTAAACACTAGATATGTTTGTAGCAAAATCCCAAGTGACTGAAGCTGTGATCCCTATAAAATCCAAATTTTAAATCAAGTGTGGCAATTTATGCAGTCACCTTATTGACTAATGTACATTTTTGAATTTTTCAAAAAAAAAGATTGAGTAGACATTGTTGAAACCTGGAGACCTTCTTTTGATATGCGGTCAGCACACTTGTTTTTTTCTGGTGTCAGGGTAATCTTTTTCTGGTGGAAGGGTCATGAACATTTATTGATGGGGGAGATTGTTAAGGAACAGTGGGGAATTTTCTTGTTCATATGCATTTTTTCTTCTGACTAGTAATTTGAAAGTAATTCTGAGATTTGTGCAAAGCAGGTCTTATTTTCCTTATTTTGCTCATAATGCTCTTGAAAGAAAATCAGCAGTTTTAGCCTCACCAGTTTAGACCGGGTATGATACTTAGCTGGAACATGTACCATGGGGCTGCTTTTTTCTCCCTGTTTGAATGGTTCTTTCTGCATCTCACCTGCTCTCTCCCCTCCACTATGTAAAATTTCTGCAGAATGGGTAATGGTGAAGGATGCTGTTCCTTGTGTTGCTGGTGGGTTGAGAAAGCAGGGGAGGGGATTATGAAGTAGGTGGGAGCAACAGAATAGTTGAATTTACTGTAAAACAGGAACTAAGATTTTGCTTTTTGCATTTTTCATGCATTGTTTTTATTGAAATTGTGTGTTTTTAAGAATATGTGCAAGTTTCAGTTATGTTTTCTTTGTGTGTTTTAGGGTGTTCCCATGAATTCACTCAGGTTCCTCTTCGAGGGTCAGAGAATTACTGATAATCATACCCCCAAGGAGGTGAGTTTCCCTTTCCAGAGTGTTAGACAGTGTTCACTGGAAAAAGTAACTGATTAGCTTCTATTCAGTCAAGCTATTAACCTGAAGATACCTAAGAAATGTGAGCYAGAATTCACTCTGTTTCAAAGAAAGTGTAAATAGAAAATAGATTACTTGTGTTAYTGAGTAATTCCCAGCAACTGCTATGACAAAAGAGGAAGAAATATTGAGTTATAATGACCTTTTGGAAGATCTGAAAGTTGTATACCGAAGAATCCTCTAAGTTATCTTTTTAAGTTAAAAGCAGGTCATCTGAGTTGCAAGTGTCAAGTCTTAGCTGTTGGATGAGGTAGGTGTGTGCTGTTTATCAGCCATGTGGCTCTACAAGTGATGCATTTGCTATGCCATTGGTAGCATTCTTGTGCAGCTGTTGCTCAAGAAAGCGTTTAAAGAAGGAAAAAGCTGGTGCCTTCAAAGCCAATGTGTTCTGTTCCACAAGTGGATTTAGGCTTCCCAGACAGAGCTGTTGCTTTGGCTGAGATGTGTTGTAAACATGAGACAATGAGAGAGACTAGAAAGTGTTGGTGGGTAAGGTAGTCATCGAAAATTCGTAACCCCTTTGTCCTTTGAAGGATTGTGGTGGGAAAGAGGAACAAACTATTCTGTAGCTTGTGTAGGACTTGCTCTGAATGTAGAACACTGGTTTTATAACAATTATGTGCTGTTTTTTCTCTATTCTCACAGCTGGGGATGGAGGAGGAAGATGTGATTGAAGTTTATCAGGAACAGACGGGGGGTCACTCAACAGTTTAGATCCTTCTGTTTGTTTTATTTCCCCTTAATCCTTTTTTATTTTTAAATAATAGTTCTTTTGTAATGTGGTGTTCAACACTGAATTGAAACTGGCACCCCATCTCTGGGAGTTTTATTTTCAAGCGTCTGGTATTTTGACTTCTCGTGCTCATTATACACTATTGTTTCTGTTTTCATTGTGCTGAACTTTTGTGATCCAGCTGCAACCCTGCTCCCTTTTTCCCTTCCGCCCTGCCCCTTAGGAATACACGTACACACACGCGTTTGTATGTTCACTAGGTTCGTGCGTTTCGGGCACGAAGGGTGTAAGATCTGCCAGGTGGRCGAGTGTTCTTAATGACTTCCATATCAGCCCTGAAGTTTTGATGTGTGACTGTTTCACTCCTGGACTATAACTTTCAGTGCGAGATGAAGTTTTTCAGAGAACTACACTATGGAGAAATTGTGTATCCATAAATCAGAGCTATTTTGCTTAAATTGTGCTGATGGCCCAGCGAAGATTACCGAGGCAGAAGTGGAGAAGCTAGAACTGTTGTCATCTGTACTTTGCTCCAGAGATGGCTTTGCTGAAGACATAAAATTGAAAACCCTAATGATTCTTAAATCTTGCCAGAAGAGCCCAGAAGCATTCTAACTTCATATAGCAAATAGTACCCACAGGTATTCATGCAAGAATGTTCACAGCGAACAGCTGGTGTTACTTTGACACTCTTGTTTGTACCTTTTGGCCTGGGACGTGGGTTTTGAATGGACATTGTCTGTACCAGCTTCATTAAAATAAACAAGAAAAACGATTTTATAAACAATAATTTGTATCTTCTTTTCAAATATTTGGAAATGAGCAAAAACAAAGTGATAATGAAAGCATGCCTTTCTGGTACATATGCATCAAAGGCAGAAAGTGTGCTCTGTAAATAGGCCTCATATAAAAGCATTTACTTACTTTCCCTTCCCTAGTAAAACACTTGATCAGTTTGGTTTGTAGATTAATTTTGAGACTACTAGCTCTTTATTGTCTTATTGTTAGAATATTCATATATGGTTAAGCTTCCATATATTCTTAAAGGTTAGACTGAAAATGCAACTTCGAAGGACATTCAGAGAGGGTTTACTTAATGACCAGGTTTCTTTTAATTGTGGTATCACAAAAATAATCCCTATATGGTGGATGAATTGTCTTGGCATGCCCGTGTTACCAGGCACCTTTATGATGGTTCTCTTTGTGTGTAATAGCTACTTACAGGGTTCTAAATGATGAGTTTGAACTAACCTATTATCCCTGATCTAGTATGAAAGCTCAAATAGGAGGCACAACAGTGCAGGGTTCTGAACTGTTGCTGCTTTGTTGCTTCTGCAGATAAATAGGACTTGTTTCTGCTTTGGTTTTGTTTTGTAAATTGAGATCATTTTATGAATGCCAAATTCATTTAAGGCATACATTTTAGTGTTGGCATATTTAGATGAAATTGCAGATGGGTTTTGAATCATCAGATTTTATGGCACTTACTGTAAAGTTATAAATGCATTTCTTCTCATGCTTGTGGTTTCAAATGTCCTATTTCTGATCCAGTAATATACTTTTGTATACATAGTTGCACTAAGCAATTTTTAAAGATTAAAATTTTTTGTTTACAAAACACCAGAATATGGAATTTTCTTAAAGTATTAAATGTAATTCCTTGGGAGGAGGAGAGACTGCTGTTGTGATGTAGAACAATGTTGTCTTTGGACTTCTTTCCATTTGCTTTTTTAAGAATACTAAATATATCTGTTTCAGGATACCAGAAATAAGTAGCCTTGTAATTAATACCGGATCATTTCATAATTTAAAGTTGTGCAGTGCTACTCTTAGTAGACAAGTTCTTATTATCCCTCTTGTACAAATTAAGAAGGAAGGCACAGGGGACATCRCTTGCTCAGGTCACTCTGGAAGCTGAAAATGGAGCTGGGAAAAGAATCCAGATCCCCTGGGTTCAATATTAGTACTCTATTTGCTGCACTAATTTTTTTTGGAGTGTTACTGCCCACCTTCTTTTGAGTCTGCATTTTATATGCTTGTTTTTATCAACTCTGTTTAACTCTTGCATTTAACTCTCTTTGAAGCTATTGAGAAGACTTGYTTCAAAATGGTGTTTGCAACTGAAGCCAGCTTCAGTGGGATGAAATGCTGGTTCAGGTCATGCAGCCTTGTTTAAGAACATCTCTGTTTAGAGTATATAGTACTAGTGACAAAGTGATTTAACCTATATGTATATGTTAGAAGAACTGATATCTGCTACCATTGTGTGTGTGTGCCCCTAAGTGAGGGGACATGAAAGCATTGAAATGAGTGCTGCCTTAAATACTCCTACCTGTGAAAATTGTCATTCGTATCCACTATTGTGTTATATAAAGGCTGTATTGGTTAAATGCTATACAAAAGTATCAGTCTCTGTTCGCATTTGGTTACAGCTGTTCTAAAGGATTTGTATATCTTCTTAAAAGTTTATATACTTGTTTTTAATTACAAGAAATGGTGCAGTTAAATACATTTGCAGAATTTGGGCCTCAGGTGGAGTTTCCAATAATGGCAAAGCTTGAACTCCRGAACTCAAAATGGAAATCATTTTTAAGAATGCAATGCAAATGTGACATGTGCATCTTCTGTACATTTCTGAATAGTTCCTGTGCAGGTAAAATTTATTTTCTTAAATGAGATCAGCTTCTGAAGTGCCATATAGAAAGCTGGAGAACTGTGCATATTATAGAAGCACTATAAGTTGGTAGTTTTCTTGTTTTWAAATGATTACTTGATGCTTTTTTAATTTAAGTGAAGTTAAGCTTCAATTTAGGAAGACCACAAAAATGAATTACCCTGTTCAGTCTGATATGAATGTGGCTGGCTGATTTAGAAAAGGGGATGGGGGGAATCTTTTATCTGTAGGATGCATGTACAAAATTACACTTGTAATCTGGGAAAAAATTACTTGGGAGTGAGAATAGCACCTATCTAGTAAAGGAACCCTCTGGTTTTGATCTGGGTTGAAGCCTTGAATTAAAGAGCCCACTGCAGTGACCCATCTCTGGCTTTATTTATTCTTTCGTACTGCTTTCAGATCCAGCTTTTCAAGCAGCTGAAAATAAGAAAACACCCACGGACGAGAAATATCTTGAGTGTGTTCTAGTCCAGTAGTTTCTATTAGAAGCCCTTGCTGCAACTGCAAGTGTTGCTCCAGAGCTGCTTTTCGCCTGCAAACARTAAAATGGATTAAAGATACAGGACAGTTTTTCCCAGGGTTAGAAATTGAGTGCTTTGACTTGAAACCTACCAACTCTATAGGCTCCTTACTGATTTCTTTCCCCTTTCACAGTGCCTTTTGAGCAGAAGCCTGGGCTTACCTTTCAGCAAGCTTTGAAATGGGCTAGGGAAGAAGTCTTTAACTTATGCTAACATCTCGGGGGGCAGTGTTCTTCCTGTCAATAGTATGAGTAGAACAAGCAAGATGCAGCTATTCCTGCTTAGCTGAAGTGATATACATACTTTCCTATACAGTGTAGTGCTTTGTGGGTGACAAAATAATGTAGGGTGTCCTTAAGAAGGGCTGTATGCAGCATTTTGGTTTGGAATCTGCAAACTCCAAGTCCTGTTCTTCAGAGCTGCTAAGAAGAATGAATTCTGGAGGTGCTGTGCTGGAGTCTGCTGTGCTGGACTGCATGCAGGTAATCATAATTTCAGTTCCATGGGAAAACTTTTTTGTCATGTAAATAGATAATGTCATGGAACCCTTTCCAAGGCTTTTAGGATGTACATGATAGGGCAATCTGGGGAAGCACTGGAAAAAAAGATTATGTGAAAGAACTTATAGATTAGAGTTTGACTTGAAGGCAACTTAGCCAACTCTGGAGGATATTGATACTGCTCTTGTACTTGAACTGTGCTGATAAATRAGTCCCAGCTGCTGCTAGGTATATAGATGTGTTATTCAAAAAAAAAAGTTAAATAGGTATGTACCTGATTAAAAGCTGTGTTTTTCTTTCAGCTTCTTCCAAAGCTAGTCTAGCCTCTTTTTGGGCGTTCTTCCTCTGCTCCTTAGTTTCATATCTTGTCTTCTCTTCCTCTTCAATTCTTCTGTCATATTCCGGGCATTGTTCTGTCATCTCCACTAGTTGCTGGCATTCCTTCTCTAACCATGTTTCTCTTGGTCTCTGTTTTTCTGCAACTTAGAAACAGATCATCAAACAGCTATTCGTTGCTTGCATGCATCCTATTTAGGAAATGTTATTAATCAATTACAAATAAAGAGAATTTCAAATGACACTATTCAAACTTTAAGTATTTAAACTGGTCTCAAACATGACATTTTGCAATTTCAAAATAACTAGTTGATTTTTTTAATCTGGCATTTAGGATTTGTGTTTTCAAGTTTTTCTTTGCAACTATTTGTTAAAAATAGAATCTYCAGCTCTATGACTGCTGGGACTGGAGCTTCCAGAGAAGTTATCAAATATGCTGAAAGCATGAAATAAGTTAAMAAATATAGCATGAATGCTATTGTTGCATCTTATGTGACTGTATCATAGGCTGTGGAATTGTCCTCCTTCAGGCTGTGGGGACTGAGAAGACTGTTACCATCTCTACTGCATAGAGGAAGAGTTGAGGTGCTGCAAGTTAGGGACTTAGTGTCACAGGAATTCCATGGCAGAGCCACAAACTAACTCAGAGTTTAATGCATTTAGTAGAAATCATGCCTTTTCAATTATTTGCAGATAAAATAAGCATTAGCCTTTCTATAGATGACCTTGTTCTTCCTGGAATGGCTGAAGCTTTCTGTGATAGTCTTCCTGCTGCTGCCAAATACTTTCYTGTGCTGCTTTCTCTAATTGTGACTTCCTTGGTGCCGCCTCCTCCTCCTGGTGCCTCCACTCTTTTTCTAGTTGCTGTTTCTGTAAACTAAAACATAAATGATTATTAATTGCTATGGCAACCTTGGGTCTGCTTGAACAGTCTTGCCAGAAAAAGGGCAGGTTCTGGCCCAAAGAGCTAAACAGATTGCCTAAATGAAGGGGAGGGAAATCAGAATAAAGAGAGAACAGGTGTTGGTTAGTGATACTTAGCATATGTCTGGTTATGCAAATTATTGGGTGCGGAGGGGGAGTTTTACTGCCCAGTTTTCACTATGACATCTCCAGGGAGTGAAAAACATGAATTTAAAAAGGAGAATGAGAATTGTATCCACRTACTGCTTTACATGGTATGATTTATTTCAAGGCTGTGGAGATGAGGGTATGTGGTAGAGCATAGGGACAGATAGGAAAGGTCAGAGCAAGAGCTGGAGAGAAACTTCTCAGTGTTGTGTTCTTGTTCTGTGAATGTGGTTGAAATCCAGAACAAGAACCCAGCTGATGCAGCAGGAGAGCAGTGAAAAGCTTTGGATGAGATGTAGATGAGTGGTTAATAGCCTGTTTTTGTCTAGTGATTCAYATTGAGAATAAGCATGAAAGTAAGTCAAGGAAGCTAATGAGAAGAAATATTCTTCGCCCTTATTTTCCTCAGGTCTTCCATTTCACTGGGTGACACTTAGGATCATCTCCATAATTCAGGTCATTAGACCAGAAATATAACTTGAATGCCTGTTTGGCTTCTCTCAAATGAAGCAGGACATAGCACTCATCTAGAAAAATGCTTTATAAATCAGATTTGTCTTAAACACCTGGTTTAATGAAAGGTATTGTTTATACAAACCTGTCTCTACTATAACCCCAGGATCAGAACATAGATGCCAGTTATTCAGTAATTTGTGACTAGGCTGCAGCTCTTCAAAGTCACCCAAAGAGGTCACTGTTCTCCATTAAAATGTTCTTGAAAAGGAAAGCATAACAAGCTGAGCTATAGGATGGCGTCAATGTTTTGTATAAGCAGAACAGTTCAAAACACAAATAGAAATAGGATAATTGTACACCAGAGTTCATGCTGGTATTGGTGTGTCTGCCAGAGCTTTGCCTTTCCTTAAGGTTCTTTACTAAAGCTATGGAAGCAGAGGTAAAGAAGCAAAAATGCTCATGCTGTCTTTTTTTGACTGGTATAAATTTTTTTCTATGTTTTTGGAAAAAGCTATGCTGCTTACATCTTTATAACCATGTAATTAACTGTGCTAAGGTTTTTACCAGTATGACTGTCAAGGAAAATGTTTTTTTGGGGGGGTTGTTGCTGCCCTACTTGATACATATCAAATATAGAATGTAGTCTCCACAAAATCACTGTATTCAGCTAGTTGAAAAACTCAATTTGTGGAATGACTAATAATGGTTATGAAGTAGGTTTTGAAGTTTGGGATCTGGTGTTTTTCAATATTTCCATTATCAGCTTGGAAAACTCAGGCTTGGGAGGTGGTGTAAGGTTTGACAGACAGACTCGGCACTTTTAACACAGATAAATGAGTGAAAGTCTTCAACGGTGAAACTAGTGAAGGCTTTCAGCCAAAGGCTTGTGTGATGGTGTCTGCTTTTGAACTTATTTACCTATTGGAAGAGTGTCTTGATAAGCTTCTATGCTACATGCAGGATCAGTGGTTTGGGTACATAGACTAGGCTGACCAAAGAAAAAGGCAGGACTACTGTAGTCCTGCCTTATCCCACCTAAATACTCTTACTAACCGTACATCCTCTGTTCTCCTCTGTAGTCCCTCTTCCAGCTCTGCTTTCATTTTTTCCAAGTGTTCCTGCTGCTCTCGCTTTTTCCATTTCCGTTGCTCCTCTTTTCGCCTCCTCTCCACTTCTAGCCGCCTGCTCTCTGTCTTCRCTGCTCTTTTTCCCCCTGTTAATTTTCCTTCTTGCCATTTCCTTGGAGGAACCTAAACAGTGGCATAAATAATAATGCACTAAAGGCTGTCTGGCTGGTGTGTTACTAATGGAAATCCAAGAATATTTTGGCTTTGGTAGGTATGGTACTTTTTTGACCAAATGCATACTTTGAAAGTAGTGATATACGTAGGACCTGTGTTAACGGAGTTGACTGTTTCAGGTGATCATGGTGAATAAACTTCTATTTGTTTTCCTTATACAGGTGCTCACTTCCATGATATCTGGGTTTTATATTAATTTTTTTATTTAATATCTCAGTATGTCACTACTGAAACTACCCGATGATGGAGGCGACTTGGTGTAAGGCTGGGCTTTTACAGCCATTTGTGCCCAGCCACCTCCCTTCTCCCCATGTCTCCACATATGGATGATGCTTGGCCTGAATCAGAGCTGAGATGGCCATGGGGCTGGGAAGGGGCCTACGTGGGATGCGGAGGGACCCTCCTGTGGCTGCAGGGGTCCTGGTGTGCACCCTGAGGGGYGCTGATGGCTGAGGGGATAGCAGGGGCCATTTTGTGCCTGAGGTGGTGGCCATTTTGTGACTGAGGCAGCTGCTGATTGCGCTGCCCTGCTGAGGTGGCAGGTTGTGCTGTGCCATCTAAGTCTTTGTTACTGGCATTTTTAAGTTTATTTGGGGGATTTTTTTTCTTGTAGTCTTTTTAATCCTGTAACATGGGAGTTACCTCAGTGTGCCCCTTCCTACAAGTGCCACTTCTTACCTCTGAGGCCTCGCTGTTCCTTCCTGCTGCTGTGTGGGTGCCTCTGGCCGTGGTCGGAGGCAAGTGGCTTGATGCGAGGTGAAAGCTGTAGTTGCGTGGGTGGCTTTGGTGGTCCTCAGAGAAGGCTTCATCTTCCTTGGGAGGAGAGGGAGAGGCTGGGCAGCTGCTGCCAGCAGCGGAGCTGCCTGGTTTGTTGCCTCGGCCTTCCGCCCCCATCTTTGCTGTGGGCTCTGGAGTGGCTGCCTGCCTCTTCGCTGCAGCTTGCTCCCTCTCTGACTGGACCCTCTTCTTTCCTGTTGTTCTCTTCTCTTTTGGTTTTCCTGGGGAGAGAAAAAGACAAAAAAAAAAACTGTGGATCCAGATCACTCTGTATCTAGCTTGCTCAAAGTGCAAATGTTTCAGACTAGAGGTAAATCTTTCTACTAATGAGGTAACTTACAGATKTATGTAATTTTGTGCTAGGGCAGCAAACTTAAGAGCGAATTGTAAATTGGTTAAATCATTGTTTTCATCTTCAAGTCTCAATTGAGACTTGAAATTGAATTTTCTCAGAAATTGCCCTGTCATAACTTGGTGACTCTTAGAAGAACAKCTTGTATTCTTGATCTCTCTGCCCTTATCTTGTTTCCTACTCTGCTTGAAAAGAGCATGCTAAAAAATTATTTTTAATTGTCAGTGTTACGGGGAAACAGGTGCAAMAAATACATCATCAAAACTGAAGTGAATGTCCAAACAACTGCATAAATATTAAAACATTACTACAGACAGCTATTAATTGCTAATAAATTATCTTGTGTTAACTTGTTCTGCTCCAACTGCTCTCAGAAAAGCTAAGTCTGTGTAGATAAAATGGACTTATACTTCAGCCTTTTCTGTGAGTAAAAGGTAGAATCCATAATGTCTGTCAAACAGTCTGGGATATGAGACAGCTTTGTGCTGCCTCTGGTCTTCTGGATAACTTCATGCAAGTTATTTTCTCTTTCTTCAAAATTCTGTCTACAGAGTAAGTCTCAGGATAACCCAATTTTCTGAAGCTGGGTACCACTGCAATGCAAACAGGCATGTGTAAATAACCTCAAACTGTGTTTGCACTGTGAGTGCATGCTCCAGCAGACATGCTTGGGGTTTTCTGTTTCAACACTGTGGTGCATCTGGAGAAAACCTAGCTATGGTACCTGCTTTTTAATACAACTTGTAATTCTTGTCTTCTGGTACATAAAAACGACAACACAACCCCTTACATGTGTACCTAACATGAAATATAGTTGAAGCTTCGTCCTGTTAGTCACACTTGCTCTGTCTTGTTTGAGGCTTAATGGAATCGATTTTACTAAGTTAATTGTAACTATTCACAAAAAAAGCACCAACAGTAAAAATCTATAAATATCCCTCTCCAATTTTTTTGACCAACAAACAAAAGCATGGACGAAGTTGGATGGATCTTCTCTTTTTCTGTTTTACAGTAATATAATAGATTAATCCTCACTTTAGCTCCCATTGAAATAACTAGAAAATGGCATGTGAAGAAAACAAGATGCTGAATAAGACCTGCTTTTTGTGTATTACCCTTACCGACAACAAAT